TCTCAAGAAAAGAGCTCGCTTGAAACAACTTATTTGTAAGGTTACTAGTGCCTTTGACAAAAAGTCGTGTAATGAGAAAGCTCTTAAAAGTTAAGGCTACAACAACATTTTTACAGACGCACTAATATTCCGTTGCTTACAGAGATTATGACAAGATAGAACATTTTAACATCTAGTGCCTTAATAGCTTGTAACTCTACAAATGTTTCCTTGGTAGCAAATCCTCTATAAATATTGACTTTTCACCAAATCCTGTGAAACTACGAACGTTTGAGGGATCTATAGAGCTCAAAGGAGTCTCTACAGAACAACGCTGTACTCTAAGACTGGTAACACCGGTTATCATCGAGCTCAATCTACGCTAACACAGTGTCAAACGTCTGCGCCTGTGCGCATGTTGCTATGACTAGGCGGTGCGCCATCAAGCTGTCAGAACCAAGTTGTCTCGCACGAGTTACAAACAAACACACAAAGTAGTAGGTCACGGTGTCTCAAACACTTGTAACGTTTTTGGTAAAGCTCAAAACAGAATCTTAAATCAACAGGATACCCGAGCTTCAATAAGCTTGGTCTTCGAAAAGTATCGAGTTTTCCTTCTCCATACTTCTGTTCATTTTAAAGTTTTCTATGACCGTTTCAATTTTGTTTCGGTTATTCAGCAAGACAGCGGCTGTTTTTATTGAAATTTTGCCAAGGAGATTGACGCGCGGCCGGCCATAATTTATTCTTTCGCGCACGTCCGACGCTTGACTGCTGTGTTATCTACGTGCTATCTAACTCCGGTAGGTCAGTGGTCTACCTTAAAATTCTTTGTATTCAAATTCTTTTCTTGACCAACTACGGAAGGCTAAAAGCCGAAAGTTATGATGACTATGACAACGATGACAACGTTTAGACGTATTTATCTAAGCAACACAGTGCCAGCACTTAGCTCCAGAAACTCAACAAGAAGTAGTTGTTTTAAGGCAAAATTGCACGTTAATATCAAAGTCAGTATCTGACCAACTACGCCCCTGCCCCTCCCTGATCCAACATAAACCCTAACTTCTTATCTGGCGACTGCTGTGGGAGGGGGGTACGTTGCTAAGATACTGACATGGATCCAAACTTTTCCTAAACTACACGGTAACTTGACATATAATAAAGTGGATAGCTGACGCCTTTTTCAACAAGAAAGCTCTCCCACGTTCCTACTAGCCGTTCCTCATAGCCAAATCGATCCAAGACTGAAAGTAAGGAATGTTGGCGTACACCCCGGGTTGATTCCTTTGAGCGCATCCAAAACCCCAGCTTACAGCCCCAGCCAGGACAAAAGCACCGTTTTCCCAACAAGCCAGTGGGCCTCCACTGTCACCTTGGCAACTATCGATTCGACCCTGTTTGTAGCCAGCACAGAGCATGCGTCTTGTAAGGCTCTTTCCTTGGTACATCTTTTTGCACTCGTTATGCTCAATGATCGGGACCTGGGCCACGCGCAGTTTATCGGACGTCGGCCCAGCCTCCCGTATTTGGCCCCATCCGGTCACATAACATTGGGAAGTGTTGGAGGAGTTCCATGATGAGCTTGGCATACATATGGGACTCACAGCGTCGGAATAGTTCACTGGTTTGTTAAGGTGAAGCAGAGCGATGTCGAAATCCATTGTTCTCTCGTTGTATTTTTGATGGATGCAAAGTTTCGATACGCCTAGAGTAAATGGAAATTACAATGCGGGTTAAGTGACCATTGTGAAAACCAGGAACTGATAGATCAGCGGGAAAAATTCCTTACGCTCCAAAAAAAGAGTTTCAACTAAAGAGGAATTGCTCTCTACGATATCAATACATTTTAAAGCAGAAGGGTGATGAGAAAATAAAAATGTGGAATAAGGAATAGCGTTCAATTCAACACCAAATGTATAGAAAAGTATGGCAGACATTGCAGGGAATATGATGTTCTGATCTTGGGAGTGAAAAGGTTAACCCTTGTGCTCCCAGAAGCGATCAACATGTATCTTCTCCCTACAATATCCATACATTATCCAGCAAACAGGTAGTGAAAATGTTCAAACTTATTAGGTAGAAGTTGCTATCTTGGTCTAACATCAAATTCTCGTTACTGATTTACAAGGAAATGTGCAGCAGCTAGAGGGGAGAATTAAGCATTAGATCTCGTGAGTTTAAGTGTCAAGACTGACTGCGCTAAGTTATAGCGTACACTATTCATTTCCAATGGTGCCGACAAGGAGAATTTGTTTTACAATCAAGAGCTTCTTAAGTTGGTGACCATTTTCTTTATTCTCGTGAACTTATTGTTTGATTTAGCGGTGCTTTTGAAAGGAGAAATTAGAGACTTAATCAGCCCCAGGCTCAGCCACACCCGACCTTGCCTTTCCTTGCTTGAATCTGGCTTAGATTTAACTTAAAACTGCGAGACACAAACAAAAACATAAAAATTACCACTTGAGATCTCGTGTCCTTCGACCTTCTTTAAATCAGACTCTCCAAGAACAACTTGAAGTCGCCGAGTGGAGACTGGGTCGACGCACATTTCATTTTTACGCCTTCTAAGAGCAAGATCTTTAACACAGTGAGCAGCGGTGAGTACCCATTCTTGGTTTAGCAGTGAGCCCCCACAAAAAATGCCCCCACCATGAGGTAGCTTGAGCCCAACTTGCCACGGCCAGTCTCGGATGTGAGTCACTCTACCACCCACAATACGGCCAGAGGTCAAGGTTGAAGGTGATCGAGCTTTCACTTGTGTGAAAGAGAAAGAAAAAACGTGTTAACTAAAGACCTGACAAAGCGTATTAAGAAACAAGCCAACAATCTTCTTGCACATCGCAATAAAGTGAGGTCTAAAGGAAAAAAAAAAGAGCTAATAATTCTTACATGGACACTGTTCCTTCTCGTATCCATACCCCTCGCACGGTCGTCCTCCGTGTTCTGGGGGAGGATTAATGCAGTATCGTAGTCTTGTTCGTGTCTCTATGCCACCGCAGTTTTTTACGCAGCTGCTCCACTTTTCCCAGGATCCCCAGTTCCCGTGAACAACTGCAATCAGTGAAGATTGAAATATTAGAAGCACAAACAACGACCAAGCCGTGCTATAAAACTAGTGCCATTTGATTATTAGACAAATTCTTCTTGTAAATACCACAGGAAATGTTCAGAGGACACTATGGAGAACTTACAACTGATGTTACAGTGCAAAGGGAAGCTAAACGGCAGATGACGCCAAGATGGATAAATCGAAAGAGTTCGAGCAAAAACCGTAGTTCAAAGGGTAAATGATTCTATTCATAGGGTTGATCGTAATCCGGCGGATGAGTGTTAACAAAATATACTGCGTTGTCTGCCGGATAGAGATCTATTCAGCTGATACTAAGCGTTATCCACCCGTGGCCAGATGGGTACTTGATTCACGTGCGGAGTTTTTCAAGTGAGTGAGGAAAGTAAACTTTTCGCGACGTTTCTATATGCGGGATGTTTCTGCAGGAACTTTTTGTGAACTTTTGAACTTAGCGCAAGAGACAAGTTCTTACCATCGTCGCCAGACATTTCGTCGTCACCTCCGTCGTCTTGACCATCATCGTCTGAATTGAGATCGCCTTCAAAAGTCCAAATTGTCTGAAAATGAAACGTACAAATACCTTACAGTTTCCCTTGTGAAGTGGCCCAAAAGAAACTCTTTTTCAATTGATAAGTTTTAAATCTAAAAGTTGATGATAAGGAAAAATAAGTCTATAAAAAATACTACGAGGTTGGATTGATGAGTTTGAAATGAGCCTGAGAACGAGGAGTGGGAACAGTATTTCAACCTTTTAACTTAAATGGGTGTCCAAGACAGAATTTCTCCTCACAATATCAATACAATGTTAAGCTGGCAAGTGATGAGAATAAAGAAAAATATCACTAAATGAAGGAATTTCTATTTGATCCAATCCCAAATTCTTCAAACTAATATCATAAGAACTGTATGACAGACAGTAAGGAGAATTAGTAATGAGATCTTAGGAGCGAAAGGGTTAAAAAGAGAAAATTAATACGATTTCTGCACGCCGAGAATTTCGCCATTTGAGGACGTGACTGAACTACTTTCAAACATGTTAAGATTGTTTTTGATCAGCAGGTTGCAGATTTCCCGAGGAAAGGTACATTTTGGACTGTCTTTTTGCTATTATTTCCACGGCATGGTGTGTTCACCTAAACTTGAGAAATAACAATTCCATCGATTTTTCTCAGAACCGCCGGCCTCCAAGAATGATTGAGGTATTTTTGACTCCATGTCGAGCGACATTTATCAGTCAGATTAGTCGACTGATTTATCATTAAACAAAAAGCTATTGCGGTCATAACCTGTCCATTGTACAAGAAGTTCATGCTGTTTGATAACCTTTTAGAGGACGCATTTCTCAACAGTCACGTAACAGATACTTCAAGGGGAAAATATTTCGGTGGTTTTAAAGCCTGCCTTGTATTTATCGCAATATCAAAGCTCTTCAAGGTTCCACAGAGCATGAGCAAGGATTTATTTGAATAACCCTTTGTCAAACAGCTAGAACTGAAAAAAAAAATTGGATCAGTCGATAAACGATCGACCGCCTCCTAAAAAAAGGACCACTTAACATTTTTTGGTTAATTGGCGGAAAAAACGTTTTGATCAGAAGATTTGCTTTTTTGGGGTCTGTGATTCCGAAAACAATCTTGCTCTGGGAGACAATAGTAACCTCAACGAATGTGGATTTCAGTGTAAAGAATAGCAATCTATTGAAGATTTGGAATTAACTTTTTTAGCGGTAGTTCTTGGCCAATTGGCATTTTTTTTTTTACACATGTTGGTTTGTCTGGCTTGCAGTTATATTCCACACCTCCACTTAGTCTTCGTCGTTATCTAACTGTGAAAGCACTCAGCATAAAAACTGAAATAAACCAGATTTTCTCCTCTTTTTTTTCACGTGGCCAATTTCCAATTTTGCACCACTGCATTTCTGGCACTTTTCATCTTCAATACACAGCTAATTTTAAGTTAAAATCAGTGGCTGTTTCAGTTACCCTTTTAGTTCGTGGAAAAGTTTGGTTAGTCTCGTTAGTTCAAAGAGCTAAAATATTTTGAGAAAATATGGGACTCAGCGACATCAGGGAGAAACCGTTTAATATCAAACGGGACGACGTGGTTTTTGAGAGAACTGAAGCCCTAATCCTTCTTACAGACAGACCATCAATCACGAAAACAGCTAAAATCAGACTCACCCTTGTTCCTGCGCATCCGTTGTGCGTGATAAGAAAAACGCTGAAAACAGCCATGAAGATCTTGAAAGCGGAGGCCATCCTGATAACTTTGTTGCCAGTTGCGCGAAAATATTTTGATTTGTTTCAGTGCAGTTGATGCTGAACAACACAAAAACGGACAAAAGAACGCAGGAGAATTGATCGATTTTCTTTCAGGTCTCTCCGTTTGCCTTTCTGAACCGATCGGTCCTGTTGTGTGATCTTTTGTGGTAAGTCTCGGCGATGACAAGATGTAATTGAGATGCCGGCTTTTACACGCGGTAAGAAAACGCAGAATCTGTTGGGAGCCAACCTCGGTATGCCAAAAAGGAATTTAAGAAAATTTTCGTCCTCAGCTCTAAGTAACTTCGGTCCGTAACTAATAAATCTATTCTTGCTCAGAGCAATTAGCAAAGCACGTGGACGAACTAAGCAACACCTAGAATAGGTACACTGGGCTGAGAATATTTTAAACAAAGGGAAATGACGAAAGCTCAGAGCTATCAATGCGTGGGTCAAATCTACCAGTGTGAGTAGAACATTTCATGACCTCAGGAACTCGGTTAGAAGCGCAGAGTTGGAAAAATTGACCGAAAAAAAAACACATCATATCGCAGCGTGATAAACAGAGGAATTTGATCTCATGCCAAAATTATGCGCCAAAGATTCAATTGTTGTAAAAATCCTGGAACTTTTCAAGCCCGACGGAAACAGGGGAATTGTGTGAAGTAGTTACTTTATAAACTTAGGATGCGAAGTAACATATTTTTTTTTCGATGACGTCGTTAACGTAAAGATAATTAGGAAACGGCTAAAGTTTTGGAATTCTTAGAGTTAAAACAAGTGCTTGTTACCACTAGGAGGTGACAAAGGTGCCAACTTTTGGACGAGAATAGATTTTGGGCCTTGGCGGTCTACACAGTGTGAACTATCACATGATTTCAGCTCGCCGCCAAAGAATTACTAAATTTTCGATTATATTCACAATCACTTTAGTTTGAAATCGACTCCCTTGTGACAATAATTTGTCTCTGATCAACACTGGAAAAAAAAAAAAAGCTTAAAATTACATGATACTGACAAACGCGATTTGGCGCACTTCATTCGGCATGAAGGCTTGAGAAAACAGTTTGAAAAAAGGAAGTTAGCGTACAAATATAATTTGCCACTTAATTGTCAAGTTGCTCCTTAATTAGTGGGATTTTTTTTGGCAAGAACGGAAAACACGTAACAGAGATGGTGTGCCACCGCGCGTTTCCATTTTCCTTTATTTAAAGCAATTTTAATTCGTTACGAGCCGATATCGACGGGCAGAGACAAAGTAGCAGTCTTCAAATTTTAGACCTTACCTCTCAGCCAGCCACTTAAAAGTAATTTGATCGTGTCTTGCAAGCGCATGGCGAGAATGTTTATGTTATGACTGAACACAAGCACTCCATTAATTCTTAGGAAAGAACTGCTTCTCGGATACACTTCACTCTACCAGCGTAACGTGTCAAAGTTTCCTTACACTTTTGCAAAAAGAAAAAAAAAAAAAGGAATGCAGGTTTTTCAGGGTTAAGAACTTTGATACAAATACTGATGGTATCACCGAATTGTCGATTTTTTCCTCTTCTGGACATCCCATTCAAAACCAGCGGGTGCGTTTCAGCTGGATATATATATATGGCTCCTGTATATAGCTAGTGTCCTGAGGGTACTGACACGTACAAGGTCGTCCATTCTTAATGTTTTAAAAGGGTAATAGGGCCGCAGCAGGCAAGCATTATGATGACGATGGAATCAAGGGCGGGAAAAAGGAGAGAAAGGAGTATCCCCTATTTCCCTTCCCATCGTCCCTTGCGCAAAGCTCTCACGCACCTTCCCAGCTAATCTTTTAAAAAAATCGAGAGAAGACTGGGGACGAAGTTACTTAGAAAGAGGACGGGAAAGTAATTTTTTTATCGCTAGGGGGAGGGGGTGGGAGGATATTTGGGGGGATCACATAGTCTTTAATGGGAGACGGAGAGGGAACATTTGTCCCTAAAAGAGTAAAAAGGGGACTATAAAAGAATGACAGCTAAAAAAGGGAGAGAAGAGGGAGAGGCAATAGAATCCTGCAGAGCCTAGGTGGGATTAGTCAACCTGTGACAAAACCAAAGTCCACCGCTCCTCCCCCTCCCCCTTCACCAGCTAAATTATGACCGTCCTTAATCGAGCACGATGTGTGCTCATAAAACTCACCCAGATTCTAAAAGTTACTCACTTCCCCGCCTTTCACGCCGACCTCACAAACTGAGTGGGAAACGGCAGCACACACAATGACTATTAAATCAATGCACCTCCTACCTGGACATTTCTGATCGTTACAACTGGTTCTCTCAGAACTGGGTCCTTGACATGGACGGCCCCCATTCTGCGGAGCTGGATTGTTACATGTGCGGCTCCTTGACATGTAACCGCCTCCGCAGGTCTTTGAACAAGTGGTCCATTTGCCCCAGACTCCCCATTTTCCATCAACTGGCACTGAAACGAGACAAGAGAAAAACATCTCATTTTTTTGGTCTCCTTTTGCAGTTGCTCTTTACTTTTGTTACGCGTAGGGTCGCTCTCTTCCCCAAATTTGTTACGTTACGAGAGCAAACACTACAAACGTGACTACGATTTAATAACTATTCATTGACGTAAAACTGGATGCAGAAGCAAATTTACCCCACTTCGAAACAGCGAGGTTTCCATTTATATGGGACACGAATGTATAATCGTAACCTGGTATATTCCAAACAAACGGATAGTGGTATTCGTTTTAGATAGAGATAATAATTTGCTTTCTATCCGGAGTTACACTCCAAAGCTACCATTCTCAACTGAGTGCTGGTGAATAATCACTCGCTTGCGAGCAATCCCTCATTATCAGGGCCTCGGCACGAGCGCTTCTTCGCTTGCGGGAAAAAATGAGGCCAGTTGAGCATTGCGAGTGCGTGAGAGATCGGCACGGGTCTAGCTCATTGTTAGTGCCAGACTCCCAGCAAACCTCAAATCTTATCGTAAGCGGAGAAATGCGCGTCCCGCAGCTCAAATGATGAAAGGCTGCTGGCAGGCTAACTTATCACTTCAAAGTGTTTTTTTCCTTTCCGTTTTTACCATTTTTAACTGCTCTTATCTTTTTAATAATTGTAAATTAGTTTTATATCTTAGGGGAGGGCCACGAGTTTACCAGTTCTTTACTGTAATGCGTCACCCTCGGTAAATGAAGTTATTATTATTATTATTACTATAAGTTACTATAAGTTAAAAAAAAAACAAACCAAAAACAAACAAAAAAAAAAAAACAAAGAAACAATCATGTTTTGTAACATACGAATAGTCTTTAAAGTTGGAATCTTTTTCAACCAAATGTCATTGCAACAGCAGAAAAAATAAAAACAACTCCTATTCCAGCTAAAACAACATCAACAACAACAAAAACCAAAAAAAAAAGGAAGACAATAACTGTAGCCTTTTACCTTTGCAAGGTGATGTGTTACAAGCCTGGGACTCAGCAGAGGATCCTGTACACGCACGTCCCCCATTTTTGGGGGCTGGATTGGAGCATGTCCTTGTTCTCCTCTTGACACCCCCTCCGCAGGTTTTTGTACACGTAGACCATGGGCGCCAGGCCCCCCAGTTTCCGTTGACTGGTACTGAAAAATGAGGGTAAATTTGAATTTGAAAAATTGAAAAAGCAGAACTTGAAATAGCAAGAGTGACAAACCCAAAAGGAAAAATTACTAGAGCCATTAAACCTTTACAAGGAGAGAGAGAGGTGATTGCCAGAGAGCCCTTCACATGCACGTCCCTCTCTCTGAAGGGCACGATTAGTTCACTATATGAGGGCCATTGTCCCGAGGCTCAAGAACCTTTCATTGCCTAAATATCATCAGTTTTTCAAGGGAGAGTAATAATACAATAAATTATGCAAACAATCAATTTTTTTTTAAAAAGTTATGGCGTAACGTCAAAAGATGAGAGATGACGAATTGCTCAGGTTTTCAGCTAATATAAATTTTTCATGAATTGCTCAAACGGTCCAGAAAGTGTTTACTTCTCTTACCTTTACAAGGTGTGCGGTTACACTGGAAATATTTGATAGAGTCGCCTGCACAGGTACGGCCGCCATTCCGAGGGGCAGGATTAGAACATGTTCGTCTCCTGCTCATGGTTCCTGCGGTTCCACAGCTCTTGGAGCAGGAAGACAAGGTACCCCAGGAACCCCAGTTACCATTCACAGCTGCAATCGAAAATAGCGAGTTTCAAAATTAAACAGGAAAAAAAGAACATCAAGACATCAAAAGTCCTTAGAGCTCTATTTTTAAAAAAAACTTACGGCACCATCCGCAGCTTCTCTTGCAGTAACGATTCATATAAGCATAATTCCGGCGGCATTCACCATTCCGCCTCCAACTAGCACAGTAGACACTTCTGTCATAGCATGCTGTAATAAAGTGATATTGATATGAGTGATATATCGGTGTGCATTTTACTATTAGTTTCGATTAAATTTCGCAAATAAAATTTTAAAAATTACATGAATAGCCTACTCCAGGCACTAGCTTAGTAAAACGGAGCGAAATAGCAAACAGCGTGATATTAGCGGCAGAGCGAAAACGCTGGAAGTTTGGGTCGGGTCGTTTATCACGCGATCCGACCCAAGCCTCGCTCGTTTTTTTTTTTTTTTCACTCCTCCGATACTAACGGAGTAATTTTCTCTAATAAATGTGACTCACCGGCTACGGCTACAGGGGTACATATTCTGCAGCTTAATTTGCAGTTGACCTTCATGTACCGTGGATTTTTCCCGCATTCTCCATTTCTTGCCCAAGTAGAACAGAGTCGATTGTTGTCTCTGCAACCTGATTTAAGATCAACAATGATTTAGTAAGTTGATGGCGGAGAAGATGAAAACCTGTCTTGTTGGTCTGTGAGTATCCCACAGGTAACCTACTTATAAAAATTCACCCCCACCCTCCCATTCCCGCCAAAAAAAGTCAACATCAATGCCTACAACCCCGGAGAAAAATTATTCACACAATAATCTTTAGCTATTTTGAAATAACTTATAAAAAATTCGCTTTTGATGCACCACTCTCTCGCCTTTTTCGTAATTTAAACCATGAGATTTAACTTGTTAGAGAGAAGTGATTTATTAAATTCCAAACATTGCCTAGAATGGGATCATAAAGTTGTTTGCGTTTGAACAGATTCATAACCCCCGTGTAATTTTTCAAAATTTTTCACAGTATTTACAAACCTCTTGTCTGTAAGACAGCAGCTAAACTTTGTGCAGTACAAATCACAAGTATTGATAGCGTGATCAGATATGCAGTAATGGCGACCATTTCCAGAGAAAGGCTTCAAATGATCGGTAGAGATGTGGATGGGAATGTTTGAGACCCCGCGTTCGTCTCAAAAACCGTTAAAAATTTACAATTTTGAAAGTTAATGAATATCAATTAGGTGTACAGATTGTTTGTTCTCAGCGGGATTAAACAATAGGTATGTAAACAACTATGCACTGTTTGAAGTTTCTGTTTATCAAAAGACACGAATATTGGAGACGGGAAAAATTGAATATTTACCTAGGGTTGTTTTCGTCGAAGTTTTTGCCTGCATTTAGACCTTAAAAAACAGTACTGTATGCATAAGCGTTACGCTACAATAATTTGAACAAAAAATGTTCTATTCAGTAGAGAACTTTGAACTGAAGGCTGCTGTAATTTCTATCTATAATCAAGGCACACTGGAACGCTCGAAATATCTCAAATAGGCTCAGGGCTTAGGTTTCGAACGGCGTATGAGCGAGGAACTCGGCTAATTACTATTTGATCCCTTTCTAATAGAATTTGATTTAACTGGGAAATTTCATCTGTACAGAGCAGAAAGAAAAACACGGAAAATCGATTAGCAAACCCTGACCCTAACCCTTACTGGAATTTAAAACCCGATGTCTGCGAGAAAAGCCGAAGGTGGCTCTATTACAGAACCCACCAGAGGGGACACTTTGGTCAGCTCGTATCCCTTGTTAAAGGCTGAAAATCTACTGTAAATATCGTCCAAGTTCGACTTATTTCAGTACAAACTTCTGCTCTCCCGCCTCTCCGCCAGAAGCAAGGATAGACTCTCCTTTTAGAGCTTCCGGTTCCGGTGTTTCGTAACAACTAGAAGAAAGCGTCATGCGGCCGGAGCGCGAATGCGATCGTGAGAAATATGTTTTTAGAAACCAGAGGGAAGCCGATTCCAAAATAAGTCCACTCCAAGTAATCGCTTGCTTCAGTAGCAGCATATCGATCAAATAAAGAAAAAAAGGAAAACATAACAAGCGAGGGGAAATTCCTGAGTCGCGACCTCAACAAGTTCGACCGTGTTCAGCTGCTATAACTCTCAGAAACTGCAGCATTTTGCTGTCGTTTAAACTCTTTTCTCGGCTGGAAATTGCTCAGCAGTACAGTGTCTCAAAGAAAACCTTCACTACCCTCGTAAATTTATTTCTAACCTCGGTTACATGCAATCAATCTCTAAAATTAGGATGCGGAATATTTAACGCAGTCCTCTGCAGGCCTCTAAACTAAAAACATACCACTTTCACCCTAAGCAAAATCCCACAGTGATTTACTTACCATACACCTGTGTCCAAAGGCCACAGTAAATGCATATAAGTGAAGCCAAGTACAGGGAAACCTTCATCTTTTGGAGAGGAAAACAAACAAGATGAGTTGTCTTCGTCAAAAGAGTTACGTGCCAAGTAAAATAAGTGACGCTTAATTTCAACTACTTGATGATGGATTTGCTTTTGTCTGTGACGTCAACCTTCCACTAAGGGGTAACTGTCTTGATATAGAATGTCCAGCTCTTGTTTGGCAGGCAAAATGGTCGACGAGGAAGACTATTGACGCGACTGCATTCACTCAAGTTTTAAGTCTAACAAAGACAAATATATAATCTAAGTTTACAACAATAATACTTCCTCTCTGATCCCTTCTCGTCTCGTATTTGCCAAGACGCGGATCTTCTAATGTCGCGGGTTTGTGATTGAAAGCGACACCTAATTTGTCATCACTCGCGTATCCTTTCTGCTTTCTGTAGCTTCCCTTCGCGCGGCCTCGCTCAAAAGAGGGGGGGGGCCCAATAGTGGGGGAAGGGTAGGACGAAGTTTTGTTCTTAGGAAGGAGCAGACAACTGCAGGCGCCTACAGGACGATCTTTGAATGAAGACAGAGAAGAAGCCTAGTCTTGTATTGATTATCAATCCACTGCAATTGCAAGCTGCTAAAATTTTGTCGGGTGTCAACAAACAGAAACTCGAGATAAGAAATTGCTTGATTGCATAATTCTTCTGTTCTAAAATGGTCTCTTATCGAGGGAGAAGAGGGTCCAGCAGAAGCTTGACCCAAGCTTGGAGTTAGACCGCACCTTGGCGTGTAAGGGTGGCGAGCTGAAAAAAACAAAACAAAAAAAACAACAACAAAAAAGGACGTGCACTACTTGAAAAAACACCACGAAGTATCTTCTGATACAATAACAGCGGGGCAAGTACCTAACGCAAAAAAAAAAAAAAATATCAAGCTACCTTTCAGACACAGAAGAACTAGCGTCATAAAGGAAGTGAAAAACATCTTCGCGTTTATTCAAGTATTTCTTTATTCACCGAGCGTGATATGATAATGGGCTTTCCATCTCTTTGCACACCATTTTTAACAAAAGCAGAGGAGCTATGAACAATAAATTCCCCTTGATATCGGCTTTTAGGAGAGATGCAAAACAAACCGGCAAAGTACAATAGGATGGAATATGCTCGAATTAATTGACGCGCATTCTTGCAGGAGCCCCTCGAAGAATCGAGATTCGCTTGCGCGCGCTGAGCTTTCACGCTATTCATCGGCCTGCGTGACACTTTTTGATCCGCGCGAGATCCGTGCGAGTGGAACTTTACAGGGGGAACCTCCAGTTTTCCATCGCACAAGTTGTCTAAGAGAAGGTCTTCTACTTAGGTACATGAACACCAACACAACAGTACAGCATTTAAGTTCTGACAAGAAAAGATGATCTTAAATCACCCTTTCTGGACTCTTACAAATTATAAATGATTCACTGAATGAATGCAACAAACACTTACGTACAAAACCTGGTACTCTTACGTTCAGTAACTTCGCCATCTACTAAGCAGAGTGCGTGTGAATACAACGAGCAACATTGCCACAACACCCCATTTTTAAAATGAACACGCAAATGTATTAAAAGCAAGATGATCGCCAAATGTCATCATGTTATCAATATTCCTGACACAAAATCTTCGCTTGAAACAAGTCCCTTCTTGGTATGATGTCCTATTTCAAGTGGCCCATGATCTCTAGCCACTCAAGAATCCAATGGGATTATCAATTATGTTTTAGTAGCAATTCTTGGAAGGCAGAGATCGTGGATTGAACTAATTCGAATAATTTAGTTTTCTTCTTTCTTCTTCTCCTCCTCTTCACCAGTGCCTGCGGTTTGTTCGCTACCTGAAGACGAGGCTCCACCTTCCCTCTCGGAGGCCATCTACAACAAACACACGAGAAAGATGATTGACTGGGAAGGGCGTGGCGTGAGTTTATGAGCAAAAAGAAAATATACAAGACGACACAAAGGAAAATCAAAATATACGACCCTCGTTGTCTATTATAACTGGATAAAAGCTGCGCGCAAATTCACATTTCCCAAGAGCTGATTTGAGCCTGTGGGAATTCAGTAAAATGGGCAAGAGCATCGTGCTAGAGCATCTTTTTTTTCTGGCAATTAGTTGCTGTTGCTAAACATCATCTCCTGCTCCCCATTTCAGAGTCTAAATCAGCTCTAATACATTGGGACGTAAAGTTTCGCCCGGTACTTTCTCCTTAAACTTCTTTCTTCATCAGTAAATCGCACCTCATCAATAAAATCACAACTGTACCTTCTTGTATGCCATTTCAAACAGTTTGAGTGACTTCTGTTGCAATTCACTGTAGGCTTGTCGAATGGACTCCGCTGTTTCACTGTCTTTTCTCGCCAGCACTTCACGCACTTTGTTTATCTCTTCTTTCAGCTTATCAGTCTGTTATATTTAAAAAAAAAAAAAATAGCGAAAAGACATTCAGGCTTGTGGCCCATTATCTAGGATTCAAAAGTACTGCTGAAATTAATCCAATTATTTTGAACCTTAAAAATTCGGTGTTAAATCGACCAATTTCATCTGCTTGACAATTTCTTTCTAATGGGAAAATGGAATAAATCTTAACAAGAAACTCCTCTTGGGTCACCGCTGGGAGGGAAAGGGTAAAGATTCCTCCCTGAAAAACGGCAAGTGACCCAACCCAGGTCTTTTCCACCCATTGCATTTGATTGGTTGAGAGAGTGGTACAGGTTTCTGGACCAATGACAGAGTAAAGTAAAGCAAACCCAATCCAATCTTGGATTACTTTCAACACTCAATTGAAAATTGCTCTTCAAGGCAGACACAGACTTCACTGTGAAGCCAATTTTACCTCATCACTTGGCAGCTGATCTTTGAATTCTTCCATTTTCGTTTCTGTATCATGGATGATTCCTTCAGCCTGGTTCACTGCCTCTGTTAGATCCTGAGGAAAATAAAAAGACAAGTCTCCAATTAACATGTACATGTACACTAAATTAACAAAAATCTTTGAAAATGAAAGGTCTTGCATAATGTACCTGTTTTTAGTGCAAAAACCCTTGCCCTTGGAACTATCGACCATTCTTTATTTATCCCCGTGGGGGGGGGTTTGGGGGCAGAGGTTGATGGAGAATTTTGGGGAATCACTTGATTTTCAAGGAGAGCAGAGGGGAGAGGGGGCTCAGTCGTCACTGACAAAGTTCATGGGGGGGGGGGGAGAAAAAGAAAGGAAGTCAGTGAGGGAGGTCATTAGGTCATTAGAATACTAGAAAGCCTTATGGAGAGATCAGTCAAAATTCCTTTGTGACACAACCAAAGTCCAAATTCCCACCGCTTCCCCTTCCTGGAAAAAATAATGACCATATATTCTCCCCATAACTTGTACATATGTACTGTATATTTGCAAGTACCTTCACTCCACTTACCTTCCGTTGTCTGTCAGCATCAGCATGTTTCTCTGCCTCTCTCACCATGTTTTCAATTTCATCTTTGCTCAGTCCTCCAGATGACTGGATGACAACTGCAAACAGGAAGCCTCTCCATCAGTACAAGAGACCGAGGAACAACTTTCTAACGTCACCATAATGCACTTACTGAAACTAAATGTATTCTACATGTAACTGTAAATTCAAAATTAGACAAAGCAGTGACTTACTTTGTTGTTCTCTGCCTGTTCCTTTGTCTCTGGCAGATACATTCACAATACCATTGGCATCAATGTCAAAAGTCACTTCCACCTGTGGTACACCACGAGGGGCAGGAGGAATTCCAACCTATATTCCATGAAAAAAATTACAACAGAAGTTATGGTTGCAATTGTCCAAACTATAAGTATAGTAAAAGACAGAGATACCTTAGAGAAGCTTGTCATGGTTCCTGTCCCTTGAAAACATTTTCTATCTATGGATGTTTCACATTTCTTTCACTTATTTTACGTGACAGCAGTTGTTTTGAAATTTTGTGTGGGAAATCGGCATGCAGTGGGCCAGAATTGATCTACTTGTGTATCACTCAAGTTTAACCACTATGTCGTTACACATCCTTGTGCCATCATGTCTTTCCTATCATTACATCCTAAATTGGCGGTTAATTTTTAAAATTATAGTATTTTGGCCAAGGGCCAACAACAGTTTTCCATGAGATGGTTGTTGAGTCTTGCCCCCTTACCAGTTGGAACTGCCCCAGTAGCTTATTATCAGCAGCCATTTCACGCTCTCCTTGGTGTACTTTGATTTCCACCTGAGTTTGGCCATCAGCTGCCGTGGAAAACACCTGAAAACAAACCATAACATAACTGTACAGTTAAGTACCAGTAAATTTGCACTAAGAAAGTCTTTCATGTACATGTACAAGCACATTGCTTTTACTGTGTATTCCCAAGTTTTCTTGATTATTAAAAGTCACCAAACCAGTTAGATACACTGTATTTATATAAGAATGTCTTTTCATTTTACCCACATTTGGATATTTAAAATGAATAAAACACAAATTAGAACACCACAAAAACCAGTGTATAAGCTCACTCACAGATTCAGTGTAAGCTGCACCTTGAGTTTGGCAAGTGAAATTTTGGAAAAAGAGATTTTGAAATGAAATTGAAAGAAGTTTCAAGTGGAGTCTTGAAAAAAGTTCCTTTATTTTGGTTACATCATTGAACATACACACTCATTAGGTCACTGACCATAGAAAATAATTATTATGAATCCTTCCTTATGATTCCAGTTGTAATGGTATGGAAATCAAATCAACCAAGTAAGACTTATGTTTAATCTTATAATAAAATGCATGAAGCCCCAAAGAGCAGATATTTTTTTTCAGTTGCTTACCTGACTTTTCTTTGTTGGAATCGTTGTATTTCTGGGTATCAGCTTCGTGAAGACTCCACCAAGAGTTTCAATTCCCAATGACAGTGGTGTCACATCTAACAAGAGCACATCCTTTACATCACCAGACAACACACCTCCTTGGATGGCTGCACCTACAGCTACAGCTTCATCTGGATTCACAGCTTTGCTAGGGGGACGACCAAAAATTTCTTGAACAGTAGATTGAACCTGGTAACAAAACACATCAGCAAAACTTAATTTATCTTCATTGCTTGCTGCGAGTGCTAATTTCTGCTTGACTTCATACAATATTTTGAACAAATTGCTGTGCTGAGTGAGAAATTAGCTAGCTAGCATAAGCTGAAACAAGATTTATTCTTTTCTTTTGGGGGGAGGGGGGGGG